GGTAGACAATCTCGCCATAAGTCTGTCGATATACTTCTGTAGTGTAGCAATCCATAGCGTATGCGCTTGAATCATCTTGGTTTAGATGAAGAGAAACTTTTATAACATGGCCACATGGATAACCAGATGTTTGTCATTTCATACAACTACACGTCTTTGCATTTAGATCGACAAGCCCATTTAAGTTATTATCCAGTACTTCAAACAAAGTGTTTGAACATGGTTCAACTCTCCATGACGTTGACTTCAAAACACGTTTCGTTATCTTTTTTTCAGTCCATGGTGTAACACGATGTTCCAATGTTCCTGTAAATTTAAATAAATAATACTTAGTAAAATATATGATAAGTTACAAATTTAAAGAAATAATACATGCATGGTTTCTTTTCTTGTAGTACCACTGTTGAATAGAGGCTCGAAAAAACTCCATTAACATAGTAATGGGTAATTTCCGGGAATGACGACTTAGAGCGTTGATTGATTCTGCACTATTAGACGTCATGAAACTATATCTTGCTCCAAGTTGATGTACTCTTGACCATCTTTCAAACCTGACATCTTCTAGTATTTGAGCACACTGAGGCAAAACACGTCTTAAACAGTTTATATGCTTATTAAAATCCACTTCCCGATAAGCTTTTACAGCCTTCCAGTATGTCCATTTGTGATTTTTTATACCAGCAGACCTTGATTTTGGATTTCTATACAAATGAACACCACAAAGTCCATGAAAAGCATCTGGGAAACACCTTCTAACAGCGTTGTCAATTGAGTTTGCCCTATTGGATATGATTGTCAGATTGCTAATAGGACCTATGCAATCCCTAAGATGCCCCATAAACCATATCCATGAATCAGAGGTTTCAGATTTGCCAACCCCGTAAGCTATTGACAGTATCCTATTGTTAGCATCCATGGCTACTGCTAATAAGTTTACTCCAAGGTATCGACCTTTTAAATGTGCTCCGTCAACTATAATAACTGGGCGCATGCAATTAATAAACGAACGAATCTACAAAATCATATACACAAGAAATATAATCATTTAAATGTGAAATGCATGTAACTAACAAAAATGAGTCAACAAAATTATATTGATTTACTAACCGCAGCACCAATGGCGATAAACAGCAACTCAAAGCGTCTATCTCTATCTGTTTTGATATAAGTTACCGACCCAGGATTTTTCAGCTTTAAATTGTGACAATAAGCCGACAATTGGGCAAACGATGCTTCTGGCGACCCCCTCAACAATTCCAAGGCATAACATTTGGCTCTCCAAGCTTGAGAATATGAGATACTAATCTTGAACCGAGCATTCATGTCAGTCATAATTTCATGTCCCCGATATACCCTACCATTCAAAAACATTAACTCAGCCAGAAAACCACCCAACACCTTTTTGTTTGCCTGTCTATGGTGAGGAAAAACTTGGGTTCTTGAACATGTATGTTTATCAATAAAAGTCCTAACTTGAAACATTTCGCAATCTTTTATCCTCTTTGCAATCATACGCCACATACAGTTTTTGTCAATCATACACCTTGTTTCGAAACGATCTTTGCTTGATTTGTTAACTTTTAGTTGATAGCCATCTTCCACACATTTCGTATACAAAGCTATCTTCAAGTCTTCCTTTGTATCAAAACAATCATCTTTCTTGATACGAATAATTTTTGTGTGACAATCAACTGCTATCTTTACCAACTCTTCTTCCGGTATCTGAAGTAATTCTGGCATATTCCAGTTATACTCCCGTGGTATTTTCTTCGGGGACTTTTCTTTGGGATTTCTTCTTCTTCTCTTTTTCTTCTTCAGTGTTATATGAATTACAGAATGGATGTTCAACATGTTCATTTACAGTCGTAACTTCCTCCTCATTATCATCAACAACATCTTCCTCGGCAACGGCTGTTTCATCATCAAAATTCGGGTATTGACCAATATCAAAATCATTACACGCAGGGTCTGTTTCTTCTTCTGAAAAATCATCAAAATCCGAGTATTGACCAAGATCAAAGTCCGGGTATTGACCAAGATCAAATTTCGAATACTGACTAGTACTCACAATTTTTTTTGTTGGCTCATCATCGTCTAACTGGTCAATACGAAAACCGGAATTTGGTGCTGAAAGTTGATTGGGATTTGGATTAGGGAAAGATTGTGGGTTTTGAGATTCTGTTTGGTATTGGAAATGTGGTGAAACAATATTTGCTTGGTGATGAAATTGTGGTGGAACCATTAAATTTTGAGCACGATAAACTGGGGTTGAAAAACTTAGTTGATTACTACCCGCTACTGACCCAACTTCACTACTTCTAGGTTCAACAACATACAATGTAACATCATCACTTGAAACACTAATGTAAGCAATGAATCGTTCAACATCTTCATTGTCGGTTAACAAATAAACTTTACCATTTCTCTGATAAGATAACCTAAATCCACTTAGGGGCTCTAAATTCAATTTATTTGCAACACGTAACATTAGAGTTTCATAAGTTAACTTTTTTAATGACAGTTTTAGTTGAAGATTCATGGGTAAATGCATATATTGTAAAACACCATGAACATTCTCCCATGACCCTCCAAAAAACACAAATCTATCCAAACATGATCAACATTAGATGATTTCATTATTGTAAATTAATTTACTAAACAAACGAGCTACGAAACTAAAACATGTTGCCGGATGGGGAAGGATGTCGTTGGATATAGGAACGGATGTCGCCGGAGAGAGTGATAGATGGAGATGGAATGAGTTGCGATTTAGGGATTTAGGTTATGAGTTGTTGCTGCTGCGTAGTTATATACCCAAAACATTTGTGTTGTGAAATTAAAACCTGTTGCGAATTTAGAAATCGAGTTGCGAATTTGAAATTCAGTATTGCGATAGTCAGAATCTCGTTGCGATTTACGTAATCGCGTTGCGATTTAGGAAAATCGCAACGCGAATTTGGGAAATCGCAATGCGATAGTCAGAATCGCGTTGCGAATCTGGAAACTGATTTGCGATACCGGAGATCGCGTTGCGAATTATCGATCGCATTGCGATTTAGTTGGTCATTTTGGCAAATCCAAAAAAAATTAGTTAAAATCGTATATTATAAGCCATTTTTGGTCACTGAGATTATTTTCTCTAAAAATAATAATGTAGCATGAAACAAGTCGACTAATGTTATCTCATTCAAATTCAAAACTAAGAGATAATTTTTTTAATATAATAATGTATCTCCTCACCTAAAACATGAAGATCCATTGTCCTCCCATATTTTTATTATGTGCATAAAAAGGTTTACTCGAACTTTAGTGTAAGAAGTGTAATTGGGTAATTGGAAACCTTTTATGGTTTAATAAAATAGATGCCAAGTATATCACATTTATTCTTTGCAGATGATCTAATTTTCTTTAATTGAGACTTAAGTTTATCATGTTTCACTTACTGAATGAGTGTTAATTACTTTCTATCATCATTCAAGACATCAGATTAATTTAAAAAAAAAAAACTATGTTTTCTCCTCTCATAATGTGCCACGGGACTTAAAGGAGAAGCTTAGTGATGAGTTGGGTAACTCACCCATGAAGAATCTTGGGAGGTACCTTGGTGTACTGTTATTGCACAAGAGGGTGACGAAAGAAACCTTGAATACTTGATTAATAACACAAGAGCAGGAGCTATTTGGATGGAAGGTTGACTCGAGGTAGAGTTACGCTTGCTAATGCAGTGCTAGTTGCTATTTCAACGTATGCAATGAAAACTATATTTATATTATACGTTAGTTGTGTGCTTAGCCTAACTTGCTGTCAAGTGATTTCCTTCCGATTTCGAATGATCAAGGCGAATGGAACTGGCGTAGGATTAATTTTGCAGGCTGTGGAGAGGATGGTAACCGAAGTGTCGGTGCGTTCCTTAGACAAGGGCTCAATGCTTATTGGGATTATATGGTAAACGGTGCAGGAATTGCTTGAAGAATCCATTTTCGCCATGCATGAAAACACCCAGAGGACTAATTCTTCAGCTGGTGATCTATTCAATCTAGATTTTGAAGCAGGAATGGAGTACCACATGTTCCCTGCTGAAGAAATCACCATTTCTAAAGGCTACTTTAGCGTATAATTGAACACCTTGCATCTGTTCTTCCTCCTGGTGTTATCCAATTAGGCCGTAAAGTCATAAGAATTGAGTTGCAGCCCGAGAGTAAAAAATCTATAAAAGTTCTAAATGGCTACGATTTAAGGCACGAAAAGATCCCATGGTGGACGAGGAGGACAGCTTATCTGTCTCCTATTTACAACAATTCTAACGTCCTCCTAACTTGTTTTGTAGGGAAAGAAGCTCTTGAGCTCGAAACTTTTCGTGAAAAAGAGATTATAAACGGAGTTTCAACAACAGTTGCAGGTTTATTACCAGTACCGAAACCCCACAAGTGAAACATCCCCTGAATTATGCAATGGGAGCGTTAGTGAAGATGGTGAAGTAAGATTTGTCAAGGTTTTGAAGAGCAAATGGGGAGGTGATCCATTATCAAAGATTGAGAGCTCCGAGTTACACTGAGGTGTGCATTATCCACTTCAAAATTTGTTTGATAGAGAAACTCTACACATAATTTATTATTAAATTTTATTTACCGTCATCTGTCAAATACAGATAAAAAGTTAAAGAAGAGTCAAACAATCGATCAACGTGACTATCTTATATGGTCAAACAATATCGGGATAGCTGGTTTAACAGATCACATCAACATTCATTATCCTCAATAACAATTGTTAATAACAAGCTATGAATTTATTATAAATCAATTATATTAATGACTAAATCGTTACTTTTAAATTGTTATGTCGAATAGAAGAGCTTACTCAAATGTTAGAGACCATGTAATGTATTTTACCCATAACAATCTCATATCGTTACCAATAAAAATCCATCACGTCCTCGGTTGACTACCAGTTTCAACTAAGTTTAACCTCAAGTCATTGTCTTTTAAACGGACCGAAATTTTTTTCTGGGTTTTATGGTTTTGTTCTTCTGTTGTTGAAGCAAGAAGGGGTAGGGGAAGTCATGGCTGAGAATAATCCGATAATGGGAGAAAAAGATTACATTTTGTTGAAGGATTTCAAAGTTGAAACTGAAGTTGATGAAGAAAATGGTTTTATTTTATGTTTCTGGGTTTACATTTTCGACTACAAAGCATTCCCTTCCACCATTATTAAACAGGTTTAGCAACTGCTGCTCCCTTTTTTGATTTGGGTTTCTCTTTCTTACTCAAATTTTGATCTTTTTGGGTTAGGGAAATTACTCTTTTTTCTTTCTTGGTTTAGTTTCTTTGCTGTTTGGTTGTTAGGAAAAATACCCATTTCTTAACTTTCTGTTCCTTTTGATGATTTTATGAGTGTTTTGTGTTTTTAGAAGTTTTAGAAGCTGCCATCAGAAAACTTTTCATCCATATGTGATTTTTAATTTCTAATGTTGCTTCAGCTTTCCCGTTATAATCTTCTAGATCAACAATCTTCATTATTTTTTATGATATTTTTCTTAAATCTGTATTAGTAATTTACCTTTACAAGAATTTTCGATTTTCCATTCTTCTGATGAGTTGAGTTGTTTTTCTGTTTATAGGTATTTGCAGAGACTAACAGCAGCTCTCCTTTACTTGTTCTCAATGAAAAGACATTGATGCTTTTACCTTTGACTTGCCTGCACAATGACGCTCCTGGTCCTGGAAACACCGATTTACCTTCAGAAGTTCCGAAAGTGACCGCAGAGATTCAACACCCTCAACATAAATGGATACATGTTGGATACGAGGTATGCCTTTAACATCTGGTATAACTACAAACATAAAGGCATTATTGGTTTTGAGATCTGCACCTTTACATGTAGTTTCATATGTTTATTTAATATCTTTCCATGATGTTTGAATTGCTTGAGATAATTTTGGGAATGAATGAACTGGATGAGCTGGTTTTAATTTGGTCTATTTAGTTGCCTTCAATTCTAAATATTGGTCACATGGATAGTAGGTTCCTACACTTGCATCTAAATGGGTCATCTATTTTGTGTGAAACTTGAAACAGTTTTTAGGACTGACACCGAATAAGAATGAATTGGTCTAGAATTTTTTTTGGGGTAAGTGGTTGGTTGTTTGGAATATTTGAGAATGAGGAACACCGGAGAGAAGGAAAAAGAAAAGAAAAAGAGCAAAGATGAATTGGGAAAGTGTGTAGCTGAAAACTTGAGGTTATTTAGCCTAGACTAATGGCCAATCTCTCAAGGGATAAGAGAAAATGGGAGAGGTTTAAAAAGGAAAAATAAATCTAACATCAGAAAGGAGTAAGATAAAAATGTTTTTCGAGGCAACAGTCCTCAATTTGGATACGCCCCTGTTTGTTTTCCTCCTTTTTCACTTCGTGATGGAGTTATTACTCAGCTTTTTGCCTAAGGTTTTGCTGAAGTATACTTTGTAGATGAATACTATTTTTGTTCTCCTGGCTATTACCACGTATGTGAATTTTTCTGTTTTTCCTTTTCTTAGGTCACTTCTGATTTTGTGCGGCTTTACGTTAATGGGGAGCTTGCAGGAGAGCTACTTCTCTCTTCCTTGTTAAACCAAGATTTCATACCCAATGGTTCGAGGAGAACATTAATTGGTGTTAGTGGTGACAGTAACTTGCGGGGTTTTATCCATGATGCAAATGTCTTTCCTTCAACGTTGGCCATAAAGGACCAATACGTTAAGGTGGCTTACACAGTGTCCTCAATGTTTTTCCATAGCATGTAAGTTTACCTTAAGGTTTAGAAAATTGATGCAAAAATATGATGACAGGATCCACCTCTAAGATTGTCAATCGACGAGTCTTCTATCTCTGATATTGAAGAAGACAATGGTTTTTGGAATATTGTTGGTGGGAAGGTACATACCAAAGAGTTCCAAACATTTTTTGGCTGATATTCTCATCTTAAATATTGCCTGATATTTTAGCTTTTATCCTCGGTCTTAAGCATTTGATGTGGTAGTATAGCCTATGTTACTCGGAACTTGTTTTAAATTCAGTTTTTCTTTTTCAAGATTTATGTGCACAAGTCCGAGTATGTGTTGAACACTGGTACTTTGGTAAAAATGAAGAGTCAAAGTAGCATAGAATATAGCCGCTCATTTCACAAAATATGAGACAGATTTTCAACCATATTGATTCCTTGATATGGTGTTACTGCTCCTTGTATTTCCTCTAGATTTACCCTTTCACAGGCATCTTGTCGCAGGATCTTTTCCTTGGATGTTGCTCTATTAAATGCCTTTGGCCAGCCAGTTAACAACGAACTAGAGGTAATTTAGTCTTTATCTTTAATTTTGCAGTGCTCTTTTTACCTTCAGCACCTAATTTTTCACATTTTTGTTGGAAAGGTCGTCGCATCACTCTTGTATGCTCATAATCGGTTACCTGTTGAGAAGACGAATGATGAAGAGCCTCCTCTTCTAGTTAGCTGTGATGGAATTGAATTTGCCTCTTCTGATCGACCTAGTAAACTATCAAAGGGGCGGGCATCCTTTAAGCTGAAGATCTCCAAGGTGGTAATGTTAGATTCAGTTTCTACAATCTTTTGTTCAATATGCATGCTTCTAGTTATTTATAGAATTTTCTAGCGGATCTTGTTCTGTGAGAAACATTTTTGCAAGAATTTGGCTTTCTGTAACATATTTGTTTATTTCTTTTATTGATTCATCTTGAATTCACTAATGGTCTGGTTCTGATATTATCCCAGCTCTCGTCCAAGTGTGATAATAGGCAGTTCTGCATCAAGTTCGGGATATCAAAGCTTGAGGGCTATCGTTTCCTTGAGGACTTCTCCCCTTCAATTCGTTGCATCTCTCGGAATCGTACCCCAAGGACATCAACTATTATTTGGAAAAAAATCTCTGCAGTCCATCCGGTTAATGGATCTCAAACCGTAGGCCTAGATTATATTTCTTGTGAACCTAAGCACAATACTGTTCATGAAGCAAAACTCAGTCCAACATCGAAGAGGGTTAGATTGGGAGAGGCAAAAATTTCTAAAATAGACCAACACAGAGAAGAATACAACTCTATTGCTTCAAAGCACAATCGGGTATAGTTTGAGACTTTTTTCCTTTTCCTTTTCCATAACATCATCATTATCATGGTATGTCTTTATGCACTGTTAATAGAAGAAGAGCATACATCACTGTTGAACTATAAACAATTGCATTGCTATTTACAATCAGGTCGAGAATGGTTTTGGGTCAAGATTGGAGGCAAGGCCTGAGAATTTTGAAGAAGTGAACACTTCCCAATCTGATTCAGAGAGCACCGGGGTCCAGGATCCAGCTTTAAATAGTGTGTCAAGTAGGGGGCATTCAATATCGGATGTAACAACTTTTAGGTACTGCCTGGGGGGCTTGACGGATAGGTCCATTTTACTCAAGGAAATTGCCACAACCATTTCAGATGACGAAATTTCGGGCTTTGCAGACCAGGTTTCCGTCTACTCTGGATGTTCTCATCATAGGTAATTTACAATGCTTTGCTTCTTTCAGACATTATTGTTTGTAATCATTAAGGCTTTGCTTAGTAGAGTGGAAAGGAAGTTGGAAGGATGGAAAACTAAAGGGGTAGAAAAGTGGAAAGATGGAAAAAAAAAAAATTTCCTTCCCATTGATGTGCTTGGTAGAAAGGATGGAAAACTTGATAGAAAATGCAATTTTCTTTTCATTCATCGCTTGGTAGAGTTGAAAAATGAGGAAAGAAAATTAAGCTTTGAAAGTTGAACTAACTCACATCTTTCTCTCATCTTTTGCTTACAAATTTGAATGATATGTTTTTACGCATGATGAAAAATGATAATCCCTCTCATTTTCTTTCCTACCAAACACACTCAAAACTTATCTTATTTCCACTCCCTCCTTCCATTTTTCCGCTCAACCTAGCAACCTATGTTCTTGTTGGGAAAATATACATCAGTGTCAATTTTTCTTGGGATCTACATTGAATATTGTTGAATTTTTGTATTCCTGTTGGTAATTGAAATAAGTTGTTGCCTGCACTTAGGCATCAAATAAAAATGGCAAAGAGATTGATAGATGAGGGGACAATAGCCTGGAATTCGATATCACAAAGCAACCTTCAAGTTCAATGGGAGAGTGCAGTTTTCGAGATTGAAGAGCAATTCATGAAGATTGCTTGCTGCACGACTAGATCACTTTCCCAACAGGTATATATATATATATCCATTCATCTCTATTAGTGGTTGCATTTTTTGGAGGGAAATAACAGGAATGAGGCTGTGTACATGGTCCATTGGTTCATGTTGTACCCATCAGAATCAGATTTCAAGGCTTGGTTTCTTACCACAAGGTTTCTTCATAAAAGCATGTTTCCTCACAAATCCAGAAAACAATTTCAAAGATCAAGTATACAAGATTAAACTTCGGCTCATCACCTGCACCCACATAAGACATCCTTCAAAGACGACAATTTTTCATATTGATAGTTAGATGATGACTGGCAGAAGATTGTGTGTGTATTCATATACATACGGGTACTTGTTTACCATAATTTCTAGATGCCGTATTTGTGGTATGAATAAGTAGTAGTATTTTCTTTTATTGAGAAAATCTGCGTGAAAATTCGGTAGTCGGATGAAAATTCATTGAATTAACAATTGTTTCAGGACTTTGAGCTTCTACGGAAAATTGCCGGATGCCAAGATTACATGGCCCAAGAAAACTTTGAGAAGATGTGGTGCTGGTTATACCCTGTAGCTTTAACATTATCGAGTGACTGGATAAAGGCAATGTGGAATTCTACATCGCCAAAGTGGATAGAAGGATTTATAACGAAGGAAGAAGCTGAACTCTCACTTCAAGGTCCGAGAGGCCTGCAAGAGCCTGGGACATTTATACTTAGGTTTCCTACTTCAAGGAGTTGGCCCCACCCAGATGCCGGCAGCTTAGTTGTGACATATGTCGGCAGTGATTACGCTCTTCACCACCGGCTGCTTTCCCTCGATAATGTATATAGGTGAGCATTTCTTGCTTTATCAAATTTCATCGTGGTCTTAATTTGAACTGTTACCAAGGATAACTCTTCTCAGGTGATTTCTTTATTATTTATATTGGGGTACCCTTAATAATTTCTTTGCAACATCGTACATGATGGAGTTCTTCCGAGTATAGACAAAAAAGAACAGCATAATTAGGAATGTGTATGTTCAACTTTTGGATTTAGAGGGCTTTCGGTGGGTTCTTTGGTTTTAAACATTAGTGGATACTTTAGGTACCGTTGGTTTAGTTTACACCATTTAGAAACATTTATCATTACCGTCATCAAACACCGAGTTTATAGATAATTTGTCTCGTACCCTTTCTATACGACTATACCATGGATTGAAAGATTTGTTGTTTATTTTTTGAGTATAGCTCCGGAATACGGGAAATGAATGTCAAAGTAAAACCGTTGCAAGATATGCTATTTGAAGAACCCGAGCTCACTCGACTAGGAAGGTAGAAGCTCCTCCACTTCAATTTCCTTGTGTAATTTGGACATGCCATGTTAATTTTTTTTAACATGTGAAAATGCAGTATAATGAGACGCCATTGACCTTTGTTCGGGTGTAGTATTGCATTACATGTTTGGTTTGTGGTGACCGACCATTCATATTTTTCGCTGTGGTTACCATGTTGCTGGTTTAGGTTTGATCGAGTCTCTCCTTTCCTTTTATCGTATACTTAATGTAAAAATATATGTAATATTAGAATCCAATGCATGATCATATCGGCATTGTTCTGATGATTGACATTCATTTCCCATACATGTAGACGAGAAAACGATTTTGAAAAGCTTTTTTCCTTGTAAACTTGATCACTTTGTTGTTGATGGCATCTGTGATATTTATTTACCAAGATGCATTAAATAAAATCGCTTCAAATTTATTTGTATCCTACACTCATTTGTGTTCGAGTAACATAAGCTGAAACCGCAAGCTAACGGACGGAACATCGTGTTGCTGCTAGCTATTGATGATTTCACCAAGCAAACTGCAGTCGCAAGTGTTCTTCCCTGCAAAAACACAGTCAACAATCCGAGTCCACATCCCCATCTTGGGAACAAAACCAAGGCGCACCATTTGTTTCAAAGCCCAATCAACTTCCTTCATCTTCACCTTACAAAAGCCATGAATCAACTTCTTGAATGAATCGAAACTCGGATTAACCCTCTCGAAAACCATCCTTCCTATCACCTCTTTTGCTTCGATAAGCCTCTCAGCATATAGCAAACCATGCAACACCTCCTGATAAGACCCTGCATTGGGATAGCACCCTCTCATTTTCATCGTTTCCAAGAGCTTCACACCTTCCTCAAGCCTGCCTTGCTTTCTAAGGCCCGAAATCAAAATGTTAAAGCTAACAGCATCGGTCTCGATCCTTCCATTTCCATCCTCCCCATCAACTCGAAAGCTTCATCGACCTTCCCCTTCTCACACAGCCCATGCATTAACGTCGAATAAGTATTAAAATTAGGCTTACACCTTTGTTTAGAAAACTCATCGAGCAGTTGGAATGCAAACTCCAATTTCTCATTTTCGCACAACCCTTTAATGAGAATATTCAAAGTACAAGTTTCGATTTCAATACCTAAATCGGGAGCTTTCATATAAACCTCGTGAACAACATCAAAGAGTTTATTATTCACGAGTAAGCTCAATACATATTGAAGGTCTTTACACTAGGCCAAGTCTCGTATTCCGGTATACTAAAAAGGGTCTCGATCGCTCTGATTCGACCTCCGACGTGCCCATATTTTTTAATCACATTCTGGAAGAAATCATCGGTAAAACGTCAAGCTTTTTCGCGATTGAGCTTTTCCATGATGTTTTCGATGGAAACAAAATCCTGGGCATATGCGAGATTGTTGATGACCAGAGTCAAGAGCGGTTCGGCCGGTTTATAATCTTTTCGAGCTGAGTACTGGTTTAGGACCGAATTGATAGAGTTTGGATCTTTGAGATTAGCAAAGATTTTGAGGATTTCGGTCGGGGAGAGCCAGTCTTTGTGGGTTAGTTTGAAAAGTGGAGCGGAAATGGTGGGGATTGGTAGATGGTCAGTGGAAAATGGGGAGGAAAATAAATGGGGTTTAAAGGATGGGATTTTGGTGGTGTTTGGATGGTGGGAAACTGAGGAAAAATTTTGGAGGTGGGAGTTTTTAATGGAAGAAAGGGAACGTGAAATCATGATTTTGACCATTACAGAAAGAAGATCCGGGAAGAGCTTAAAGGTCTCTGCTGTTAAAACTTTACGAATAAATGGTTTATTTATGATTTAGCCCTTCAGATTTACTCATTTTCTCACCTTAATACAAACTTCTTTTGCCCACTTTTTTATACTTAAAACTATTATTTCTAGAAGAGAATGTTATTTATAGATAATTTAAGTTTGAACAGTTTCGTTTGTACGATATATATGCGTATTTTTCTTTTCATTTTTCATTTTGTTATTTTGATGATGTGAAATTCTAATGTTATGTTATCCAACACGTTTCAAGAGTGTCAAGTCATCCAAATAATTAAAAATTTAAATTCGATAATTTATATGAATAAAATAAAAGTTGAAAATTGTTAACAGGAAAGGAAGAAGAGATTGTATGATGCAAAAGTTCAAACAATTATATACTGAAACTGTGAGGTATATATTTTAAAGCGATGAATCATAGTAATTTACAACTATATATCTCTACATTTGAAATGTACAAATAAATTTGGCAGAATGTTTATTAAGTGTCAAAATTTTATCTCTGCTTCTTGGCTGCAAGAATTGGTTGGATTTGCAGATGCCTGTTGAAAGCTTGGTTGAAAAGGAATCGAGTTTGGAATGCCTAAATGATCGGAAGCCAAGCCAAGACGGCGATCGGCGAGAAAAGGATCGTTCCCATTCTGTAATCGTATGCCTGAGCAAGTACCTCGGTGAAGTGCCAGAATCCGGTGTTTTCAATAACAGGCCTCAAAGCTTGAGCAACCTGAAGATAAGATTCAGACATGAAAACGAAATATGAAACTAGGAAAATACGAACAAAATTCGAACGAACGTAAGTATCCATATCCGACACTCATCATCCTCGAGTCCATGAAACATAAGAGTAAACAAGCTCAACTAAACATACCAGTATCAAACCCCATCCGGTCGGCAGAAATGCGAGACAGCAGACGAGTATATCCTTCGACGATAGTTCGCAGATGACGGAGAGAGTGATAACAATGGAGAAAACACTTAGGAAGAGGAATGCCTTAAAGAACCTAAAAATCAGATGGTAATTAGCACTGAAGAGTTGCCTTCCAATGTTCACTGCCTGTATGTCAATGTGGATATCGGGTTATCGATGCCAGAAATTCTAGGCTAATTCGGATTTCGTGAAATAAAGCTCGATATCAAGAGAGAAAACATAAGTTAAAACTGAAAATTACGATACTCGAATGAATTTTACCTTGACTGTCATGAAAACTGCAAGAATAACAACCCAGGAAAGCACATAAAGCAGGAAATTTTTGCTCTGTTGGGAGATGTCAAGATGATAGACCAAGCCATATTGATACAAGAAAAACCGAATCGAGAGCAGAAGTTCGAACAATCTAGCACAGTAACCAGAACGGCGAAGGTGAGCTTGTTCATCGTTCCACCAAGATTGCCAACTCTTATCTTGCCGAATCCCGATACCACCTTGCTCCTTGATCCACTTATTCCAGCCTTTCCAGTCATCAACTATCTTGTCCCAATCGAATCCGAAAGGATTAAACAGAAAGGGTGCAAACAACCAAGTTATGGTCATGAACCAAACCGAATAAGTGATTAATACATACGCCATGCTACTCTGGTAGGACCTCCGGAACAAATCGTAAACGACTAACAGGAGTACCAGTTCAAATCCTTTAACGAAGTGGCTTCGTGAATACAATCTATAGTTCTCAGTGAAGCTGGCATGAAACACGACGACCTTACGGCCAATAGGTATATACTGAGCTCCTCCATACATAAGTGTTCGACCAAAATGATGAGTTTTTGTTCCAAGGGAGAAAGTGAAGAAAACGACAGCAAGCTGCAGTTGCATCAGAACAAAATCTTTACAGCCCGTTTGGATTAAGGATTTTAGCATTCCCAGCAGGCATATTTTTTTCCTGACGGAGGATACCCATGTTTTGTTGGTAAGATTCCTAAGTGAGGGTAATATTTTAATACCAACAGTAAATTTTGGTGTTTTATTTCTGAGAATGTTATTACCACATGTGTGTTAGGTATTTTTCCTTTTCCGTGCTAAGGGCTAAAATACCCTTCTTTTCCCCGTGAGCTTGCCTCTGACTGGTAATCTTCTTCTCCCCTGTGCTGCGAAAAATTCATTGTTTCCCAGTGAGATTCTCCTAGTAAGATTTCTTCTCCACTCCCTTTCTTTTATTTTACCTTGCTAAACTGCGATATCTTCTTCTCCCCGCTAGCATATGTTTCTCTGTCCGAGTCACTTAAAGTTTCAAATCTGCAGTCTTGCTAAACTTTTAATTTCAATGGATGAAACTCTGGGCCAAATTCCTACCAGGAACAGTGGTTCGGTTATGCCTAATCTGACATTTTCAATTTTAATAATGTGCTTGTTTCTTTATGCTTCCTATGTTAAGTTTTGGTTGTTGTATTGGATTGTTTGGCTGCTTCAATGGTTCTACTGATTGCTTCTTAACCTTGATTATTCCAAAAATATTATAATTTCAGTACTTCACTCTCCTTGTGAACGTTTCTAAGTTCGCCAATATTTCTTTACTATCGTCCCAGTTCCGTTGTAAGATGTTCTCAAAGTCAAGATGATCAAGCCATACTGCTAGAAATCTAAATTGTTCTTTCCTCGGCTTCGATACTTGTTATCCAATTACAAAATAATGGGGTTGTGGTATGACTTGATGCGGTCTAGATGAATTACTCTTGAGCTGGGGAAAACAATATTCCAATTTATATTCATGAGACAATAGTCTAGTCTTTGTCATAAATTACCACGGCACCATGTGAATTTTTCGCCCTGGAAATTTACTTTTATTAGAGCATTGTCGAAAACAAAATTATTAAAACTCTTGCTGCAACCCCTATTATTTGCGATGCCTCCATATATTTCAGTCTGAGTATACAGTAGAAATATCCTCCTAGGATCCATGGCTCATTATTTGGTGGGTAGAGATTGGACATAGTTTCCCATAGGTGTTTATGGATGCTTACATTGGGACTAGCATAAACGGCTGTGAAGTAAAGCCGTTGGTCTGATCTGTTCGTTCTGAATTTAACGTGAATAAATTGATTGACAATCTGTAGGATTTCTACGTTGAAGGGTGTTTTATATAGTAGCCATATCCCTCCATTATGTCTCTGAGCTTCGACTCTAAATGATTTATCAAACTCAAAGATTCTAATTATTTTATCTGCTCTACATCCACTAACGTGTGTCTCCATTAAAGCTACAAGGCTAGGTTCTTGTTCTTTAATAATCTCTTGAAATGTCTGCGAATAAGGGTGACCTACCCTTGAGTATTCCAAAACATTAGCTTACCCATATTTGATTAATTGCTGGGTGTTTTATGAATCTCACCCTCTACTGCCACCTTCAGCGAATTATCTATGTTTTCATTTTTTGCAATATTCGAGTATGATGTTTCCACATTCATAGTTTGGGAGGGATTTGCCTTTGTAGTTGTAGCAAG